GGTTAACACTAAGCAGACACCAAGCCACTGTGACCTGGAGTCTGGTAGCGACTATCTTGGCTTTAATTATTTTTTTAAAAAATATTTAAATTTCTTTTTCCTGAGGAGACTGGTGAGGCTCCGCCTCCCTTGCCTCTAGTGACTGCACATCCCTGTTTAGCATGAATTACGCCTTCCCATGGAGTGAAACAAGTCTTTCAGTTCTGCAGCTGTTATAATGTGAAACCAAGATTGAATGATTGCTTCTATTAACATTTTATTGCTGGCTATATTTGGCAATAACTTTTCATAGAATACAGATAATTGAACAAACTTTGTTGCATTATCCGCTTGATTAAATTATCTTTGCATTGATATATAATTCTATGGCACTACTGTTATTAGCCATCAAAACTCAAAAACACTTTCCTCAAAAGGTTTCCACAATTTTGGCCACTACTGTATATTTTTCCATGCATCTATTTTTGCTGCTTAGCTTTAGGATCTTTAAAGTATTATTTATTAGTTTTTAAATTTGCAAAAAACTTTATTGGCATAAAATATTATGTCCTTCACCAATGATCCCTATTCTGCCACAGTGACACCCCTGCTGAATGATGTTGTTCTTACATACTCATGGTGGGTTATCTAAGGGGAAGGGATTGGCTGGTTTCCCAATTATGTTGTCACAAAAGTACCAACCGCAGATGGGGCTCTCCTCAAGTGGGATAAATTTAGTCGAATGCTTACAGCCGACAGTTTTAGCTACCCACAATGTTGCTTAGCTAAAGGGTGACAGGAGTTAAGGCGAAACCAGTGGCAAGATGACGCAGCAGGGAGGTTGCCCACTGCTGCTTCTTAGCAAAGCTAAGCACGAGCCTCCTAAGTGTCACTCAAATTTTCCTCCAGCAGGAGCCTAAATAGCCATGGAGGGCAGTACTCAGTGGGGAGAAGGGCATGCATAAAGAAGTGGGCACACGTTCCATCGTCACACCCCAGTACAAAAGTCAGGAAACCACTAGATGTTTGTGGGGACTTCAGGTATGGAAAACTTTTAAGCTGCCTCATGTACGGGGCGAGAATAGACTCTCTGTCTCTCTGACACACTCACACACACACGATTATATCAGCACGTTCCTGCAATGCTTGAAACTAAGGAGGAACACCCTCTATCGGAGACTCCTCCTGTGCACCCAACAGCTCCTCCTCCCCCCCAGGTCCCGGGAACTCTTTCCAAAGCTGCAACCAGCCTTCCGACCTTCCTTCCTCTTCTATGCCACGCCTACCCCGGGGCGGAGCCAGCCTTGCTGCAGTTTATCCCGCCCCGGAGCTTTTCTTCTTCTTGCGCAATCCGGCAACTGAATCCACAAAACGAACGGGAGGGGCGGGGGAAAGAAAAGGCCAGGCGACCAACGGAGGGCACTTCTTGTTCAAACCGACCAATAGACACAGGGCGTCGCAGGAGACTGACAGCCCGGGTCAGGTGCGGCTCCTGCCAATAAGCTCATGCTTGTGAGGTTTGACAGGCGCACGCAGGGACCGGAGAAGAGACCCGTCAAGGCTCTATTGTTGGCGCGCGGGGCGCTTGCCGAGGCTTCGAGTGGCTCGAACTGGCAACGGCAATTTTCCTGGGATTCATCAAATCGCTTAGAAAGCCCGGCTAACTTCGCCCGCTGAGGAGAAAGTCCCGAACCGCTTTTGAATTTTTCTATTTGGGTGCGTGTGTGCGCTCGTGTTTTTGTTTGGAGTTTTCTTTTGTGCGTCTCTCTTCCGAAGCCGCTTTGTGAAAGGTAAATTCCGTGCGGTCAAAGGCGAGAAAAAAAGCAAGCGAGTAACGGGAGAGTATTTCTTCCTCTCCTCCCCCCCCCTTACTCTGTGTGTAACGCTGTCGGTTCTCCCCCCCCTCCCCAACCCTCCCCGTCCGTTCTTGCGGTGCCACTTTCAAAACATCCCAGGCGATGTGAGCCATTTCCAGCCCGGTCCCCTCCCACATTGTCGGTAGGGATTACAAGTCCCATCTGCCACGGACATGCATATTGATGCTGGGGATGATGGAGCTTGCCCCACGTTTTGTTGCGCTCGTCTTTCCTACCGCTCTTTTTTCTTTCTTTTTTTCTTTCTTACGGCGTCTTCGAAGGTTGCGGCTGCATTTCTTCTACCTTT